TCCAGGCCATGTGACCTTGAGGCACCTTTCCTAATGCACTAATCTATTTAACAATTGCAGATGGTTCATCCATACTCACCATGCTCCCCAGTTGTAAATGAGCCTGTGGTCCTTTCTTTGCTAACTTACACACCCTTTGTATCTTTCTGTTCTGTTCCAGCCCGCCCCTGCCAGATGCTCACTGTAAATCTGACTAAAAGCAATAAGCAATAACAACACCACAGTCCTGATACAATGTCTTCTTTTGCCAAATAAATTAATCCATCGCTTTTTTTTAACCCAGCTTCACTCAGATTTTCAGGGCCAAACAGCCAGAATTTTCATCTACAAAATGTAACACAAATGGCCTCTTGTCTATTTACTGACAAAATTCTTGTCCCATCCCCAACCCTGCTCAAAGCCTTAGGAGCAATCTTTATTGTGTGCACTTCTCTCAGCGTTCTGGTCTTCTGAACCTCCGCCCCCCTACATTTTCCATCAAGCTCTGTTTAGAACATTATAGAGCCTCCCAGCCCACATCTCCAAACTCGTTACATCCTCCGTAAACTGGCTTCAAAAGCTTCTTACTGTAGGGCTAAGTTTATCATCAAAATGGCCCTGCTTCACTGTGAACCAGTTTTCTGTACTTATGTTCTTACCACTCTGATGAAATTCTCGTAGGAATAGCTTTAGGAAGAAAACCTTTATTTTGGTGCAAAGTCTCAGAGGTGTTTCAGTTGGTCATAGTGGGAAAGATGAGGAGAATTCATCCACCGTGGCTGGCATGTCCATCTTCAAATGGCAGTTGGGAGCGCAGTTCACAGCCAGAAGCTGAAATAGCCTTTAGAAACCCACCCCTAGAGAATGACATCAACCAGGTCAGCCCCACCTCCTAAGGACCCCACAGCCTTCACAACAGTGCCATACATTTGGGACTAAGAATTCACAACACAATGATGGGGTGTTGAGGGGAGCATTTTAGATTTAAACAATGAAAGCTATTGCTCTGACAATACTGGAAAGGAGAATTTAGGAAGGAAAGGTCTGTTTTGGCCCACAGTTCCGGGGAACTTCAGTCCATCCCACAGGGAAGGGATAATGAAGTAGTTCCAGTTCACGGCAGAAGGACTCTGTTCTCATCTCAACAGATCAAGAGGCAGAAGTCCAGGAAGGACCGAGGAGAGCTGGATACAGAGGCCCATCCCTAGTAATCTATGTCCATCAGTCTTTTGATGTTTCCATAGACTCTCCAAATGATACTAGCAGTTCAGGAACAAATGTTCAAACCTTGAGTCTGTGAGAGACATTTACAAGCCCAGCCATAATAGGGGTGGAACTCAGGTGTCAACTGACCTCAGGAAGCACTGGACCTAGGTTATCTTTTGATGTTGGAGCCCTAACCAGTTTGCTTTCACCACTTACCTTTCTGAGTTTGCCTTTGCTTGTCTCTTGTTATTTCCAGGATGTCTAATTAGACTTCTCAGGGAGGAGCAGGGAAAGACAAGTCAACATGTCTAATGTAAACACATTAAGTTTAAGTCACATTTAGGTATCACTAAGAGTCAGCAGAACAGCTCTTTCTTATGAATATAGTAAACAAGACAATTCCAGCATGATGTGGGAAGTTCTGGGCACCCAGGAGCCCTGAAAGGAAGGAAGCACCCTTGTTTTCCTGGTGGACTGGCTCTATCTGTGGCTTCCCTGTGAGGTTCTTCAGTGACTTGTTCTTCCCTGGGTCCCACATGGGAGGCACCAGACCCAGTGGGACCAGGACTTCTTTTTTTTTGCCAAATGTGCTGTTTAAGTCTCTCAATTGCAATCCATGGAGTACATTTTGTTCCTCTCAAGTAATCCCTGTTTTCATTAAGTCCCAAATGAAGTTCGATCAACACCACTGAGTGTGAAGGCTCAGGCTCATTGACAGTCAATGGTGCGTGCTTCTAGTGCACACTACATCCTATCAGAGCTGCCTCTTTGGGACGATTCCCTTTTAATGGGCCAAGAAACTCCCAAGTGGGGATTCTTGATTAAAATCTCTTCTGATGGAGTGTGAAGAAAACTGCAAAATAGTAAAGTAGCAAGTGAGGCCTTCCTCCTTCCCTCCCCTCACTCCCTCCATCCCTCCCTTTCTTTTGATAACTAGAAGTCTGGTAGTGAGTGGTTCAGGGTGAAACAGAGGTTTGTGACACCCTTGGGGACTTAGGCTCCTAAGGCTCCCTGTCTAGTGAATGATTTTTGTCCTCATACTGGAAAAACAACATGTCCACCTGCAGAGCCCAGGCTATGCTCAGGCAGAGAGGGGAGACGAAGGAAGCAGCAGAGAGGAAGAAGAGCACCCTCACAGAAGAACACCCCAACATCTGGCAAATTTTACTTCTCATTGGCCAGGAGGGACACATACTCCCAGGGTACAATGCATAGCCAAATGGAAATGCTTCCTTGAAGGAAAACTCCAGGGACTAAGACAAGAGATAAGCTGAAGAGCTCCTGCAGGTGACCTTGACAGCAGCCCCTGGAGCATAGTGACTCAGTCCTGACTCTTCATGGGCACAGCTGTACAGGCTCCTGCTAGCCAAAGCACAGTTCAGACTGAGCATGACAGCACATGCCTTTAATTCCTGCACTTGGAATCAAGAGGCAGGTGGATCTCCAAGAGTTTGAGACCAACTTAATTTGCATAGCTAGTCATGCCAGCCACGGCCACATAAGGAAACCTTGTCTAAAAAGCAAAATAAGTAAAAAAAACAAAAACAAAAACAAAAAACAAAAAAACAAAACCCCAAAAAACAAAAACAAAAAACAAAGCAGTGCTGATGAAAAATGGGGCATTAACAAGACCTTCAGGAGATCATGTGTGTACTACTGAGATGGTGGCCCGACTTAGAGGAGCAGGTGTCCCAGGAGATCAAGATGGAGTCTTGAAGATCAGAGATGGAACGCCTTGGGGTTGGCTGTTTAGGAGACCACACTAATTCTGGGGGTTTGTAGAATCCTTTTAGAACCGGCCTTGATTGAGCAGCATAGTAAAGATATCAGGGTGTGAGAAGTAAAGACAGGTAGTAGGATTAGTACAGGGTTGGGGTATGTGGGGTGCAGGCAGTTGGTAGAGACAGTAGAGTGTAAATGGTGGAATAGATGTGTTTGATGTCAGTACTAGGTACACATGTGGGGTGCAGGCCTTTGGTTAGGTAGTATATAGATGATGGGGTGCAGGGTTAGAAAGTATGGAATAGTGAGATGGTGGGTTACAAGTATTTGGTGGAAACAGCAGGGTACAGATTGTGGGATATGGGTATTGGGTATAGGTAGTGGTACTGATGCTGAGGGGCAGGGGTGGGTTTGTCAGTACCCCTCATACTTGCTGGTATCACTTAGAGTTATGGATTTGATGGGCACTGAGAACACAGACATATGGGTGCTGATTCTGGAGTATCTTATCCAGACCACAATTTAACTATCTTCTGCCTCTTGGACTCATCTCCTCCCTCTGGGGTATCAGCTGCCTCAGTTGGGTGTGTCATATCCTACACTGGTTTCTGAGTTGCCTGTCATGTCCTACCCTGGATTGTTCCGAGTTGCCCAGGCAGCATGACAAAGACTGAAGAGTTATGCTCTGTCCCTCCATGTGTTTTCAATGCTAGATGCTAAGATCTGTGGGTCTCATTAATGAATATAAAGCCTCCAGAACACAAAATTCCCAATAAGTTCCCTGCCTTGTGGTTTCTCCAGGTCCTTCTCCTGCCATCCTCCATGATGAGCAGATGAAGGGCCCAAGTTAATGAAGTTAGCTCGTTAAACAATGAAAGACTCTGCTTTTGCACTAGAACGGGTCTGCTGGTGATTTTGGGGTTCAGAATCTGGGCACAACGTGTCACCTCCAGTTTGTGCCATGCTGCTCTGACAGGAGGAATTTCTGCTGGCATAGACCCAGGATTTGCTCAGAAATGAGTGAGGCAGCTTGGGATCCACATCATGCTGAGAAAGGACAATGATCTGTCCCTGCTGGCTATGACAACTGTAGCCCCTCCAGAGCTCCACTGAGTCTCTCTGCATGCAATCGCCCACCAGCATCTTCAGGCCTGGTGAGCTAGAGGGAGGCACGGCTGTCAGCACAGGTCTGAGAGGGACAGTGTCCCTGTTCATGGCTGCCTCACTGTTCCTGTGCAGGGGTTCAGAGACCTCTGTGGACACCCACAGAAGATAGCCACTGCCTGGGACTCCCCAGTCACGGCCCTGCCTGTGGCATACGTGTGGTGTAGGTTCTTTCTCTCAGGGTTTTAGTGCTTCAGACATTTGATGACATTTCTGTAGTGGAGCTTAGAAGGCTTGGGAGCTCTCCAGCGCTCTAGATGAAGAGATTTGCTACAGTTAATCTCTGCTCCGAAAATGCTCATCTTCAGAACCTGCTGCAATTCACTTTCACTTCTGATGAAGGGCAGGGAGCTATGTGTCAACAAGCAGCCTTTTCAGGAGTTCGTCTGAATGACATCCTCGTGCCTTCAGGATGAGCTCCCCCACTTGCTCTCTTCTTAACAGAGGCAGCACAATTGCTAGTTTCTGTCACAGTCAAAGGTGGGTGGTTTGCAGATCTTGTGCACAAAAGAGCGGTTTCATTTTAACCATGCAAGCCTTTCAAAGGAGCCAACACAGGGAGGTGACAGAGCAGCCCTTAGTCACTGCAAATGTCACTGTGCAACAGGGTGACCCAGCACTTCCCCTTCCCTACACGGCCTGGCGGGGGAGGGGGGGCTCTGTCCACATCACAATACTCCTTGTATGCCAGCAAATGACAGACACGCAGTACTGCTTCTGTGGTGGGAGTGAGCCCGAGGCCTGGTTACTGCTTGCAGGAAACAAAATGGGGTGGGGGGGTGGCGAGGTAGGGGTGTAGGATAGAGCTCACTAATTAAAGTGCCTGCCTCACAAACATGAGGACCTGAGTTACTCTCCAGGACCCACACGAAAATGTCAGACATAATAATTGTCACCTACTTCTAGAAGAAGCTTCTCGGGCTGTGTGAAGCCGGGCTCAGGCAACATGTACTACAAGTTTAGCGGCTTCACGCAGAAGTTGGCTGGAGCTTGGGCCTCGGAAGCCTATAGTCTGTGGGGGTTAAAGCCAGTGGTTTCCACAGAAGTACTGCCTATCATATTTGCCACACCGACTAAGCTGTCCCCCAGTGTGACAGCATATGACTATGCTGGGAAGAACAAAGTTCCAGAGCTTCAGAAATTCTTCCAGTGTGCCCATCCACCTGAAATGAGGTGCTGACTCTGTGGGAGGGCCATCCTACTGCCTGATTGCCATCTACATGGCTTCCCAACCCAAAAATAAATGAATTAGCCTTGGGGGGGGTGGTGAAAGAAGAAGCTTCTCTGGTGAGGATTGACAGCTGCACCAACCTGGATACAGTGGGTTAAACAAAAAGAGTACATGAGGCTGGGGGGAGAAAGGTGGTGAGGGGGTGGGAGAGTGGTGGGTTTGATCAAAACACACATGCATGTATGAACAGTAAATAGCAAAAAACTTTGTAAAGAATATTTTTGAAGTCAGAGATAGAGGGCTGTTCTTATAGTTCCAGCACTGGGCTCTCTAGCGAGAGAGAGCTTGGCTCCTTGGCCACCATCCAGTCCAGCTAGAGCTCTAGGCCAACGAGAGACCCTGTATCAGAAGAGATGGGATGTATTTCAGAGGATAACACTGGAGCTTAGCTTCTCGCACACATGCACGCACCTTCAAACCAAACACAATAAAATGAAATTGGGGGTGCTGCATGTGAATGGCCAGGGGCCTCTGCAGTCCTGACCCCTAGGAGCACACAGAGCAAAGGAAACTCAGACAGGGCCTTTGACCGTGTGTCGTCTCCCTAGACCTTGTGCATGTCTGTAAGTTGGTGTGGTGGTGTGAATGAGAATGGCCCCCATAGGTTCATATAGTCCAAAACTTGGTCTCACTCCAGCTGGTGGAACTGTCTGGGAAGGTTGAGGAGTTGTGGCTTTGTGGGAGGGGAGCGTGGCACAGGGGTAGGCTCTGAGGTTTCAAAAACCTTCTGCCATCCCCAGTACTCTCTGTGGCTACCATCTGAGAGGTGAGCTCTCAGTTGTTCCTGCTCTTATGCCTTTTCTCCACCATCATGGACCGTAGCTGACTCTAGGGGGTCCCATTCCCAGTCAGCACCAGGGGAAATAAGAAAGTCCACGAAGGCGGCTAGGGCTACGCTTTTCAATCTGAGGGGTAAAACAAGCGAGCACACGTTTTCCTGATGCTAATTGTCTCTTTTACCTCCGTTTAAATAATCTCTCTTTCTTGACAGCCTCTCTTTACATGCACACATCTCCTGCCCAGTTACATATTCCCATAGTTACAGCATCTCTTTACATACTGTTAATGTATTCCTCTTCACATACACACCCACTCTCATGCCCACATCTGCTCTCATTCACTCTCACACATACGGCTTTTATGTCATCCACTCACCCTTTACTCACTCTTTCACCCATTCACCCCCCCCCCACTTCTCTCAGGCTTCTTCTTCTTCATCTCTTACTCAGCACCTACCTGCTCACCCTTCATCTTCTGCAGCGGCTCTCACAGCCGCCTAGCTCTGCACTGCTGCCGCCGCCGTCTCTGCTTCGCCGTCTCTGCTTCTCTCACAGCCAAGCTCTGGACAATTATAAGTTACATTTTCAGGGCCTGACCCATTCTCAAAACACATGATAAGTCACGTGGTTTCTTTCAGGCTAGGAATGTCACATTAACCCATGCGCAGAGCTCTTTCCCAGACAGAAAATGACTTTGGAAATCAAGACTAAACAATAACAATTAATTAGCTGGACCTTGGGTGGTAGGGAGTACATTCGAACTAAAGTTGCTGCAAGCTTCTGGCTTTGAATCAGTGAAACAACACCTGGGAAATTGACCTCCTGTATTTGTCTCTAGGGGCAACCAGATATTTGTCTCTAGGGGCAACCAGATATTTGTCTCTAGGGGCAACCAGCCTGTTTTGAATCTGCTCTGAAGTCTAAACTTAGCTGTCTGTGTAAAAAGCTGTCATTGTGACTGAGAATCCTGTGTCGATCTGAGTATGTAAAATATCCTAGTATTATTTCCATTCGTCAGAATCATACAGTTTAAACACCATCTTCCTGACCATGCACAGCTATATGTGTGCCCAATAAGTGTAAAAACCACCACCAAAGGGCTGTGGAAAGAACCCCACAGCTGTTCTTATTAGGGAAGCATAGCAGTGGTACCAAAGAAAGTTACAGGCAGTAACAACCAGTTATCCAGTCAATAACCCCCCAACAACATCTAGTGGGTGACTTGATAAATGCCAGTTGTCACTGCTGTAGTAGGGGCCACTCCCTAGTGCTGCAGCTGGTGAGGGGCAGGGCCAGCTCTCCCACTCTTATGACCTCAGGGCCAACTCTCTAATGTGCTCCAGGCATTGGTGGAGGGTGGAGGGTGGCATCTCTCTCCTGCCAAGACTACCTCAAGATATACAAGTAATGGAGACAGCTCTCCCATGCTTACAACTGAGGGTCTGGCTCACCCACATCTCTGCCAACAGGTTTGGTGCTATTGCGCTGCACAGGTGAGGTGTAGGGCCACAGCAGCCATTCTTTAGGCCTTTGTCCTAGTTAGCTTTGTCATCTTGACACCACTTAGAGTCATCTGAGAGGACAGACAGCCTTGGTTAAGTAATTGCCTAGATCAGACTGGCCTATGGCATGTCTGTGGGGGGATTATTCTGATGGTTAATTGACATAGGAGGGCCCATCCCACTGTGGGTAGAACCATTGTTGGGCTTTCTAAGAAAGCTAGCTAAGCATGAGCCCATGAGCAGACCAGCAAGAAGTATTCCTCCATGATTTCTTCTGCACATTCCCATTCCAACTTTCCTTGGTTATGGATTCTCTAAGTGGAAGTAAACCCTTTTCTAAGTCGCTTTTGGTCATGGTATTTGTCCCAGCAACAGAGATCAAACTACAACAAACTTAAATGATGGAATATTCTATAGTTTTGTAAGTGACTTCTGCACACATTAAAAGCACTTAACCAAATAGAGGGTGGCCCTGGCAGTTACAAAGAAGATATTGGCACAAAACTCATAGCTTTCCAAGAAGTCCCCAACTAGCAAAGAGCATGCAGGCTCCCAGAGCTTGGCCACCTGGGTCTTGTCTTGTGACACAGGGGCAGGTGCACAGCCAGATGTGCCTCGGAGATAAGAACTCACACCCCACCCCCACCTCTAGCACTGCTGGATAACTAACACAGGTGTGCCCCAGCTTTCATGTAGGGGCTCAGCTTTGCCTGGTGGACAGGCTTGTCTTTAATCCCGATTTAGTACCCTCCAAAGTGCAGGAAGCTTAAGCCTGGGGAATGGACACAGAACAATACATTTGGGTTTAGTGTGAATTTAATTCTTCCCGTCATTTGGGGCCCAGAGCTTTACAGTAGTACATTTAATGACTTGAGCTCTCTTGTGATCTACTTTTGAAAGAGGTTCCAGGCTTACCTGACTCTAGAATTAACCTGTTCCTGCCTCCCTCCTATCAAACTTTCCCAGCCAGTACTGTGGCTATGTGACTTTGTTCATGGGCCCCAAACCAGTAGAGCTCTTCCGTATCCTGACAAGATAATACAAGTCACTCCTTATTTAGGAGGCCATAGAAATTCATAGTAGCTATAGAGGACTGGTCCCAGAATCTACAGATGTTCACATTCCTCATACAATGTAATATAACATCTGCATATAACGTGTGCAATATTCCTAACTACTTTGAATCGTCTTTAAATCACTTCTAACACATAATGTGGTACAAGCTGTGTAAAGTATATATAATACTCAGGGGATAACAAGGGATAAAGCCTCCATGTGTAATACGGATAACATTTTTAAAATGTTTTCAATTCATTAGTAGTTGAATCTTCATGAGCACAGCCTGTGAATACTAGTCTAGTTGTGCAGTTTTAAGGGACAGACTACAGGCCATTAAGAATGGGGAGGAGGGATGAGAGAGGCAAATCCAGAGAATCAGAAAGAGAAATGATAGAGAGATAAAGAGTCAGAAATTCAGGCATGCAGAGACCTGTGGCCCTGAGACCAGACACACAGCCATCTCATGATGACAACAGTTACTTCAGTGTCTTCCCAACACAGAGTGCCAGGCAGCCATGCCCAGGCACAGCCAGGCTTCCGAAGCACCGTACTGCATCTGTGGATTCACCCACTGTGGACTGGAAATATTTGAGAAACAAAAAGTCTAGACTGAATATATGAACTGTTTTCTCTCATTGCCATAATTCTCTAATGACATAGGCTAACAACTATGGGCATAGCTCTTACATTGTCTGCCATTTGAAGCCATTGAGAGAGGATTTAAAGAATAGGAGGGGATGTGCATGGGAGAGATGCAGAAACTACACCATTTCTCATAGAGCAGTGCATCTCAACCTTCCTAATGCTGCAACCCTTTAGTACAGTTCTTCATGTGGTGACCACTGTAATTTTGCTACTGTTATGAATCATAATGTAAATATCTGATATACAGGCTATCCAACATATGACTCCTGAAGAGGTCTTGACCCATACGCTGAGAAGTGATGCCATAGAGGACTTGAACATCCACAGATTCTGGTATCTGAGCAAGAGGCCAGGGCCAGCCCTGTGGAGACCCAGGCTTGGCTGAATTGGGCAGGCGATGAGAAGTGATTCTATTCCTCCCGGTAATTATGTACTTCCTTCTGACAAGAGTGAAGATCCTCAGTGGTAGGGCTAATTTTTCAGAATGAAGCCGAACCAGTAGCTTCTAAGACGAATGTGGCACTCCTAGAACTCATCCCTTTAAAATCAGCCTCTCTGTCCCCAACTCCATGTTCTACAGCTCAGGCCACAGGCTTCAGGAATGCAAGTGAAAAGTCTGTCAGGAGACTCCAGTGTCTTTCATCAGATTGTGGGAAGCATCCAGAGAATAGTTGTCCCTGGGACATGGCAGGAGAGGCCCCGGTGCTCAAGGGAGCCTGGGATGGTATCATCAGTTGAGCCAGATGAGAGAAGGAAGGAAAACCTCCAATGCTTGAAGTTGGACACAGGCAGCCAGCTCACAAATAACAACACAGAGACATTATTAATTATGAATGCTTAGCCTTAGCTTGGGCTTGTCCTACTAGCTCTTATAATTTAAATGAACACATTTATGTTAATCTATGTTCTGCCATGTGGCATTACCTCTCTTCCCTCTTGCACCTCCTGTTTTCTCTCTATGTCTCACTGGCAGTTCTGCCTTTCTTTTTCCCAGAGTCCTCTCTGTCCCCAGAAGTCCCGCCTTACCTTTC